GGTGACCAATGCAGAGGAGTGTGCTGAAGCCTGCAGAGAGGGTGACAGACACACACACTCATTAATATAAGATTTACATTAACTCTTGGTTAACTCATTAACATGATTCTCTCTCTCTCTCAGAATCTCTCCTCAGATTGGGACGCTGTATGAACACATACTGGCAGCAGAAGAAGCTGATGGCTCCAGGCTGTGAGCCGGCGGCAGTGAGATCCATGATGAACGCACTTCAGCCGCTGAGTTTAGGACAGAGTCTGGCAGGAGCAGGAGGAGGAGGATTCCTGTTCTTACTCGCCCGTGAGCCGCAGCAGAAGGAAGCAGTGAGAGAGATTCTCACAAACATACAGGTGAGTCAGAGAAACTGGTTCAACCACTGCAGAATGAAACCATGTGAAGAAGAATGGTTGTGTTTAACCCTTTCCAAACTGTAGAAGCTGGTTTCTGAAAGGCCTGTGTGTTTAGTGTCCTAAAGCTAATTACCTAACTTTTAATTTAACCATTTGTAAAAACAGAACAACACAAATGGTTCAAGTAAAATGTATTTTATGAATGTTGTTGGTCCTGCTGTTGTATTTGACAGGGCATTGGCTCCTTCAGTGTTCATTCAGTGGAGCTGGATATGGATGGGATCTCAATCATTCAGAAGAGCTCTGAACATCCTGAACAACAGCAGATGACATAAATCTGAGTGCCTTGTAAATATAAATTTAATTGATATTAATTCTGTAAATGTATCATGTATTATTAACTTTTCTCTTTCCTGAAGCATTATATTAAATGTATAAAAATACCTGAAAATTACACAACATCAGGTTTTTCTTCCTTTTTTACTAAATTTAATAAACTATTATTTTAAGAAAATAGCCATGTTGTACTCTGACTATGGATCTTGTGCTTGTTTATTGGCTGTATGAAAATGCAAGTACTTAGATGACGATTAAATGATTAAATAACATGTCTACTTCCTAAAAAGAGGTGTCTATAAATTGGTATATTCCCCTTGACTTAGCTATTCTGACTAGTTGGTCAGAATAGCTTAAAATTCAGTCTTAAGATCGTGGATATGTTTATGCAACTGTCCAGAACTAGCAGGCTGTGAGGGTATAGAAGGACTGCAGAGCTCTGCTGTTGCAAATTTACACACCTTTATAAAGTGTTTACGCATAGTATGTACATTTTTTATTTCTTAATGAGACTTTGTAGTCTTATGTCCAAACTCCAAAGTGTACAACTGTGCAACAAGTTAATTATTTACTAAGGTATCATTATAGTTTTATGTAATTTGTACCTGAAGCTATTTTATCACTGAGATTTGACTTGAAGAACAGGTTAAAACAATGGATTTCATTTTAAGATTATAGCTTGTTCAGTAGTGCTTAATGTATCCACTTATTTTAATTTAATTTTAACGTGTGAAGGAGAGATTGGTTTAGCAGTCATTCTTGAGAAGTGGGACAAAACAGGGTGCAAAATTGAAAAAATAAAACCTTGTACTCAGACAAATGAAACTACATTTATGTATCTTACAGGTGCATCTCAATAAATTAGAATGTCGTGGAAAAGTTCATTTATTTCAGTAATTCAACTCAAATTGTGAAACTCGTGTATTAAATAAATTCAGTGCACACAGACTGAAGTAGTTCACGTCTTTGGTTCTTTTAATTGTGATGATTTTGGTTCACATTTAACAAAAACCCACCAATTCACCATCTCAACAAATTAGAATACTTCATAAGACCAATAAAAAAACATTTTTTGTGAATTGTTGGCCTGTACATGTACTCAATACTTGGTAGGGGCTCCTTTTGCTTTAATTACTGCCTCAGTTCGGCGTGGCATGGAGGTGATCAGTTTGTGGCACTGCTGAGGTGGTATGGAAGCCCAGGTTTCTTTGACAGTGGCCTTAAGCTCATCTGCATTTTTTGGTCTCTAAAAATGTTTCTCATTTTCCTCTTGATCATCACAATTAAAAGAACCAAAGACTTAAACTGCTTCCGTCTGTGTGCATTGAATTTATTTAATACACGAGTTTCACAATTTGAGTTGAATTGGCATGGAGGTGATCAGTTTGGGGCACTGCTGAGGTGGTATGGAAGCCCAGGTTTCTTTGACAGTGGCCTTCAGCTCATCTGCATTTTTT